GTATAAAAATAAACCACAACTAATCCTAAAATTAAGGATTTAAAGTAACAAATTTACAATAAAGATATTTTTAAAAAAAAGTTCAAACTTAAAATGGAACCAAGTGAAAGAAGAGAAAACTACCAAAGGCTATGGAGCATAAAGCATTTAAGTTTTTGAGAAGAATGTGCAGAGAAATCGGGTGTAAAAGAAGGTGTGGATATGCTGATAGGTTTTCATAATATTCCAGAGGATGCCTATGACGCAACCTCCTTCACATCTGCCACCAAAGCCAAACATCAAATACAAAATACGATTCAAATTATCGAAACAAAATTAGAAAAAAGCGAAATAAATGTGATAAAAGAGTGACGCTTTGGGGTCAAAGGTGGAGCCCTTTGGCAACAAATTGGATTTTGCCAGGAGGAGAGTTGAGAAGGAACCACTTCCCCACCCCAAAAAAACATTGACTACATTAGACACTAACAAATAATCAAAATGGGTACAAATTTATTAATTGGAAAAAAATAAAGTATAAACGGCAAAGAGAACAAACCTCATTAATGGCAAGCACTTGGCCATTGCTCTTCTTGACCTTCTTCAGCTTCCTCATGAAATACCTAATCCAAACAAATCAATCAACAATACTGAGTTTAACCAAAAATTCATCAATGAACATTTGGGAAGGCTAAGGATTATTCCAGAACTTGGACTTGGCGTGAACCTCATTTGTGGCCCAGAGCTTCATTTGGTAAATCTTGGGGTGCTCATTAGATGCCATAGGGAGCTTTCTCCCAACAACCTGGTACTGGTGGAACTGCAACACAAAAAAGACACCATTAATTGCAGCTTTACCATTTGACATGCCCTAAGAGAAATATATCACACAAAAACAAATACCAAATTAAATGGAACCTAAGAAACTGTGAAGATAATTTCTAGATATTTGTTCACCAAATTTCATACAACAATCCTCCACTTAAACTGACTGTTCACAACAATACTAAGAATTTGTAGGCATATTACATATGCAATATTTGGCTAATCCATTTCACCAGCAACCATATATTTAACTAAATAAACTATGTCGAAAACCAAATGGGTATTCTTCCAGAATAAAACCAACCTTCTTGAAGCATACCCATCTAAGTTATAAGAACCCCTTAGCATCCCAATACCCTAACATGGAAAAAAGAAGCATAATTTAGAATTCTGTAACAGAAATTGTCTCATTAAATTAAACAGAAATAAAAAACAGCGAATTTAAGGCTGAGATGTAATCGACTTATTGAAAGAAAAAAAATTGAGGGTGAGAGAACGATTGACAAACCTCTTTGCTAGTCCAAATGCGGAACCCTACTTCGTTTTTTCTTGCAACACCTTCAAAGTCAGTCAACATTCTGTGCTGTTCTACAAAAGATATTTACGAACACAGAACGTCATAAAATACCTTTATTGTAAATTTGTTCAACACAAAAAATCCAGAACCAAAATATTTGACGAAATTCTATTAAAAGAAAAATAACTGAAATTAAAGAGAGGGAGAGAGAACATTGTATCCCTCAACTTCTGTACATATACACTGGCTCTGTCCCACAACATCAGCAAGGGCAATGGCAAGCCTTTATTCACGCACAAACAGTCACCTGCCATTACCAATTCAAAAGCCTGTTCAATCCCATCACAGGGGAGAAATACAATCAAAATTAATAAAAGGGAAAGAAATTGAAATACAGTGGAGGCGATTAAAAGATGCAAACCTTGTTTCTATTTCAAAGTCCACGAATAGATGTAAGTGCACCATTTTGTTGTAGTCCTGCAATGCACAGAGTCATCAGCTTCACCCAAGCAACTCCGCATGCCAATTCAAATCTACCATGAACCAATCCATAAGCCCAAACATAGAACCCAATTATATGATAAACCATCACACAAAAGGCTTAATTTTGGTCCAAAAGGGCAATTCGAGGATATGGTTCTTACTTGAAATGCTTTGTTGAGGTTGCAAAATCACCTTTTTCCTCATGCTCAAACCATTCAATAACCAAAAAACAATGAAAGGAAATTTTCATTGTAATGCTAAGCACATGTATGAAAGAACAAAGGCACCAACTTTTCAATCCAACATAATTATAGAACAAAGACTCAAACTTTTTCCTTTATGTCCTTGAGTTTCCACAGAAACCCAAGTGATTTCAATAAAAAGTACTAATGTTATTAAGTAGGTGACCTCAAATGCTCTTATAAGCATAATTATTGAACTCCTACCCACAAAACAACAGTAAAATGTTTTAAAAGATGACATTTTCTGTTTTTTTTCTTGCATTTTCTAAGCAAACAAACAGAGAGTAAGTAGGTTTCTACATATTTTATACAGTGTAAAATCAGATTTTTTGTTTGAATGATCTTATATTGAACCAACCATCTCTACCTTCCAGCTAAGAGACTGGTCGATTAGTTCAGAATATCAGCTCCTAATCATATTTTCTTTTAGATGCAAACAGATATTAAGCTCCTAGGGTTCATTATCCACATGCTCAAATAGAGAGAGACAGAGAGATCTTGACTGCTTAATAATTTTTTGGGCAAGAATCAAAGGATTGAACAGCACGCTCAGAAACCCATCAGCAAGCCATTAATCCGTTAAAAAGTAAAGGGATGCAAACCTGAAGAGAAAAGATGGAAGAACTTGCAGATCGAAAATCTCTCAGACGAACGTTGCACAGAGGATGAAAGATGGTTGAACCAACGAATGAGCAGATGAGATGAGATGAAGACCAAACGAACGGCGAGATTCGCAAGGCGCTAGCCCAAATGGAAATCTACGGCCCCAAAGGAATCCCGAAGATCGAAGCCGTGCATTCCATGGCTGCCCCCAACCAGCCCAACCAAGCTGGTTCGAAGCAGACGATCGTTCTGTGGGAACGAAACAGTGGGGAGAGTTAGCATCCAAAGAGAGAAGGGCAAAAAAGGAACATAAGGAAAATTTCAGTAAAGGGCAAAATCGGCACTTCACTATTCCTAAGCTACAGTCTAGGAACAGTGAATTCCTGAACTCAGTTTTAGTATATATATAATTTCCATTGCAGTGGTAGGTTTCTTGCAAGGTTTGAAATCAAATCTGCTTAAACTTTTGGGTATGCTACATTCATATTTCCTTTGTTCTCCATTAATTGTTTTAGCAATAATTTTTTTCATGAATTAGTGGTATGACATGTTTTTTTCAATGCCAACCTAGGAATCAACTGCATACGCGAAATAAAACAGGCCCACATTCAATCACTTGAAGTCCTACATCACATGTGTGAAGTGACAAAACAACGACTTAGCCATGATTTTGTACTTCCAGCAATTTTCTCAGCTATCGAGCGAGGGATGTTTGAGTTTACTGAGAGTGTATTGCAAGCAAGACCAGATCTCGTGTGGAAATATAATCAAATGGGAAGGAACCCCTTTCAGTTTGCCATTGAATGTCGCCAAGAAAAAATTTATAGCCTTATTTATAGACTCGATAAAAGAAAAAGAACATTGATTGGAAATGTGGCTGATAAGTCTGACAATTGCGCGCTACATGTGGCCGGCATGCTATCCCTATTGGCAAAGCTCAATAATATCTCAGGTGCAGCTTTGCAAATGCAGAGAGAAGTGCAATGGTTTAAGGTCAGAACATATTCTATATGTCAGGTGCCCTTCTAGAGACCCTTTTTTGTTTGTAAATTGTGGGAATCGGCCGTGGGCGCACTCTATCATAATTTATTGATCAGCATGGTCTGCTTTCAATTACAGCTCAAAGGTCATTCTGCTACAAACTAGCTAAAATAATAAATCACTAAGGCATCTAACATTACATGTCATATGTACATATACTGTGAACATTTTGTTTTTCTTTTCCATACTGAATATGACTTTTCATACATTATTTGTTGTAAAACAAATAGACCGATACTGTGTATTTACATTACATTACATCCGCAGATAGACGGATACTGTCTTAAAAAAATTAAAGAAAATCTTACTTAATTTATACTTTTTCAACTTATACAAATTGTAACATTGATGAAAATAAATTGTTTGGGTTGAAATGAGTCATTTCATGTATTGAGATCAAGTTTTCATTAGAAAAAGTGTAAGAGCATCTACAATCATGTTCTTTATGTTTTAGTTAAAATTTAGCTAAAGACATATAAAAGTTATTTTAAAAGCTCTCTATAAAATTTTAACTCCAATTATACTCTCTAGTTTATGGAGTCATAAATGCTATAACTATTTTTTAATTGGTTTATCTCTATGAAAAAAATAACATAAAAAATAGTTAGCATTAATTAAAAGTTTAAAATATTCATAAAATAAAGCAGCATTAAATTAAAAGGAGCCACTAGAAGTCCTTACTCTATCCTCAGATTTAAGAGCTCCCTATTTTAGGAGGTGAATAGAGGAAGCATGATTGAAGTTGTATTTTTCCAATTCCTCTTTAAAATTTATCTAATGAGGTCATTTAGGGAGCCCATTGTGGATGTTCTAATGAGTGACCCACTTAAGGTGGTCAACACAGTTACATTTAGTAGTTTATTCATTCCAATTTTGAAAATTGATGCATCAAACGCATTTTCTAATAGAAAACTAGAGCAAAATAGCACGAGTTAAACTATAACCTTTAATAGAAACTTTAAATGCAGAATGAAAAGAAAAATTGGAATAAAGGTTGGCCTTAAGACACGGTCAGCATGCTAGTCTTCTTGTTACCTCTGCTCTCTAATGGTTTGGATTTGTATTGCTTCTCTCAAATTTCAAAGATTCAAGGGGTGGATTATTGGAAAAATAGAGTAATAATTTTTTACTCATATGAATATTTTTGTTCAACAAAAATGTAGGAGGTTGAGACTATTGTATTACCCCGGATTAAAGAATCTATTAATTACGACGGTATGACACCGCGTGAGCTGTTTACAAAGAACCACAAGGAATTGGTGAAGGAAGGAGAAAGATGGATGAAAGGAACTGCATCTTCATGTACAGTTGTAGGTGCTCTCATTATTACCATCATGTTTGCTGCAGCATTCACAATTCCTGGTGGAAACAATGGAGAAACAGGTTTCCCAATATTCCTGCATAAAAAGTTGTTTATGGCTTTTATAGTTGCAGATGCTATGTCCCTCTTTTCTTCCACAACTTCGGTGTTGATGTTTTTGGGAATCCTTACATCACGTTATGCGGAAGAAGATTTCCTTAAATCCTTACCAACAAAGATGATAATAGGCCTTTCCACCTTATTCATCTCTATTGCCACCATGATGGTTGCCTTTTCTTCCGCCCTTTTCATTATGATCCATGAGCAGTCATGGATTGTTATTCCAATTATTTTCGTTGCTAGTGTTCCAGTCACCTTATTTATTTGGATGCAATTTCCTCTTCTAGTTGAGATGTACATTTCTACTTGTGGACGAGGAATATTTGACAGGAAAGTGAAATCAAGGGCATAAATTCTTCTACTTGGGGGTGGACTATTAGATAGGAAAGTGAAATTCATGGACTTAACTTCTTGATGGTCCGTGTAAGTGGTAATTTATAACTTTCGTAATGTTGTAACTTCTAAGAAGCTTGTATGCATTGTCCATGCCATGTATGTGTTTGTTATCCTATAATATAACTGAAAGTTCAAAATCTATTTTATTTGTTCTTGTGAAGATATAATTGTTGGATAAGCTTTTGCTTCGCTCCCCTCCCCATATCCATGATAATATGTTGTGATTCTTGGTGAAGATAAGCGTCTTGAAGTTGTTTGACTTTGTTTTGGGCTCTGCCGTTGCATACAAAGATCAAGCAACGAAAATAACAAGTGAAATGAGCCACCATAGTAAAACCTCTGTACCCTAGCAATAGTAAAAAATGCTTGACTGGATCTCAGAACTAGAAGATTATCTTAACTCAGGTGCACGTTTTTGTTTATTAATAGGAAAAATAACAAATCAGAATCAGCTTAAGCTTTTCAATATACTTGATCCATGGAGTTAGCTTCTGTTAGTATTGAAACAAACAAAACAGTACTGGTTTATTTATTTATTTATTGGTGGTGAATGCTGAAATAAAAAACATAAACTACATGGTGTACATGTGCTGGTGTTTGGGCCTAAATTCCACGCTTCAGCCCAATTGACATTGGTCCATATCAGAAAACAAAGGTTTGGGCTTTATTTTAAATCAGAAATCAGCCCAAGTGGTTTAGAGGCCCAGATCTTTGTGAAACAATTAGCAAAAATTAAAATAACAGATTAAAGATTAATTGCCATTTAAAGCTTCTAATTGATTTCAGGATTAAGCCTAGCTTCTAAAAAACTCTGATCACTATTGATCTCAATCCCAGAGTGCAAGTCAGCAAATTTTTTGGAAGATCTTTTCTGAAAAAGAAACCACGTTCAACTAAGGTAGAGGAAGTGATGGGGAGTTAATAAAACAGGTTAACCAGAAAACGTTCTCCATTTGAAAAATGCCAGGAAAAGAAGGCTTGGTTCCCATTCTATATTCAGAAAGGCTCTGCATCATAGCAGGTTACGTTTTCAAGAGATAAACAGGGAGCAGGAGAGTTGGTTGCCAGAAAAAGCAGATGGACCATCATGGCAGGCTATGTTTTGCAAGAAACAAACAAAGAACAAAAGAGTTGGTGTTTCAGAAAAAGCAAATGGACCATCACATAAATTGACTGTTGATGGTTCTTTTTTGCTAGATTAATAACTTCCCCTTCTCTGCATTAGAAGGGGAAAATCTTTTTCAATACATCTGCCCCTAGATATTAAAAAACAAAGCCTCATTCAAATTCTCTATAAATATAAGAGGAGGTGAACAGGGTTAAGGACATACAAAAAATTCAATCAAAACAAAAACACTCAAAGTCACACTGACAAATTCAAAACAAGATTAGTTGATCTCAAAAAGTCTTCAGACTCTGAAGCAATCAAACCGTTTGATTCATGAGAGACAGATCAGCCAGAACTCAAGTTTTTTATTTCAGTTCAATTCGGAAAAACAGTTTACAAAGAAAACGAGATTTCTCTCCTTACAAAATTGGTTTAGCACAAGACAAATCAAGTAGAATTCGGATTTTTCATAACATGAAAACCTCAACAAATTTACAAAGATGTCTTGAGCTCTCAGTATCTCCAAAATAGCTCTTGGATGATTCATAATCAAGCAAAACAGGTGTTGCAGTACAGCTCCAAGTCAATAATATTCAATCCAGCCACTCACAGCCCGTCCGGACTGAAGATATCTCAATTCTGTCCATCCTGCAAGCCTCCCCATGGCTAGAATAGATTAAGAGCTTTGCCAATCCCGACATTGGTATCGATTTCCAGCTGAACCTCATCAGTTGAAGGTGCTGAGGTTTGAATCCAGCATAGTTACACCCAGTCCAGCCTGAGTCATAGGCAACAATTCGGGCACTAGTCAAAGCCCAATGTTCTGTTCTCAATGCAGACATGGCAGTTCCCTTTTGTCTTAAAAGTTCTGTAACAGTCAGTTTTTCTTGAAAAAGAGTTTGATTTATTTTCAATATTTATTTTGGCCAGAACGACCAGTTTACTGTGATAAATTATGAAGTCCTCACCAGTCTGAGGCAAGAAAAGAACTTATTTGAGAGATATTCATCACCCAAATTCACAATCACTTGTTAAAGTCAGTAACTTGGAGTGTAAGTTATCTTTGTTTCATAAGTCTGTTATGGTTTTAAACTGCTAACAGTGGCACGCTCGCACACCAAAGTAAGTTGATTTGTTGACCACCAATGATTTTCAAGTCAATGGGGAACTTTACCCTATCATCACAGGATTAAATCAAAACGGGTGGACAGCTGGACAGCTCCAAATTTTGAGAGGCATATGCATTTAGTTGATGAAGTTTTCATGATTTGTTTCGTAATCTCAATTCCTTTGGAATTTTTTCTTTTTTTGTATATAAGTAATAGATGGAATATTGGTATACTAGCGTGGTACTTCCAGATATATATATAAGAAAAAGAAAAAGAAGGAATGTAAGTACTTAAAGAATACTTGAAAAGAGAAGGCCTGATTCTTAATACACCAATACACTCAACCCCCAACAGGATTTTATCATCTGCCAACTGGCATGCTCGCATAAAGAAAATTAATTCTGAAACCATTAAATGGTTAATGAGGAATTTTACTTAGTCTTCAACAAGACTAATATATAAAAAGAGTAAACAGGTATAAGTAATAGATGGAATATTAGTATACTCGTGATACTTCCAACACTACTTTAAGATGAGATCCTTTACTCTTCTGAGTTGTGAACTTTTATCTGAGACCTAAATACAAAAACAACAAAAATAGCAAGCCGGGTCAGCTTTCAGCAGCTCGTATATCAGTAAGAATGGTGAAACCTGTGGTTCCTGCCGATGCAATTGTTGTGGAAGTTCTTAACGAAGATAACTATGAGTACTGGAGTGCATTGGTTAAAAATTACTTGTTGGCTAGAGGCCTTTGGGATGTAGTGTAGGGTACAGCTGAACGTCCTAAACCAGAAAACGCTTGTCAGTTCGAGGCTTGGAGAAAGAAGACTTCCAATCCTTTACACGCAATCCAAATTTCGTGCGGGCCTGATATCTCATAGGGTAGTGAATGAATGGCTGAGTTGTAAATGATGTAATAGGAATGTTCTGATTCCTAACGGTTTTGTTAGATGCAATATACGTATGATTTGCGTTGGAGGTGAGCTAGTATCCAGCTAGCTCTTCTTCTTCCCTAAGCTCTCTCTCTCTCTCTCATTTTTCTTCAGATCACATTTTCTCATCTAAGAGTTAACATACAAGATAATAGTCTCTGTATTCTAACCTGGCCTCAGAGCCAGGTTGGATTGTTTAGCTGGGCGTTTGAATCTGTGAAGAAAAGGAAGCTGCGTTTTGAAGCTGTGTGTGAAGGTCTGCGTCTACCATGGCTGGATCTGGATCTGGAGGCGAGGTGAGAGCGCCAATCTTCAATGGAAATAATTATGAGTTTTGGAGCATAAAGATGAGAACCATCTTCAGGTCTCATGGATTATGGGATCTGGTTGAAAAGGGATTGGAGTGGTCAGATTCGAAAGAAGCTGATGAATCTGGTGAAAAGAAGAAGGAAAAGGAAGAATCAAAGGGAGCTGGTGAATCTGGTGAGCAGAAGATGAAAAGGGATGTTTCAAGTGGTTCTGAAACAGAGAAGCTGATGAAAGATGCAAAGGCATTGGGGCTGATTCAAGGGGCAGTATCTGATGAGATTTTTCCCCGGATCTCTCATGAAGAAACTTCTAAAGGAGCTTGGGATCTCTTGATGCAGGAATTTCGAGGTGACAAACAGGTAAGAAGTGTGAAATTACAGAGTCTGCGTAGGGAGTTTGAGTACACTAGAATGAGAGATGATGAATCCTTGTCTGTCTATATTACCAAACTATTTGATGTGATTAATCAAATGCGTAGCTATGGAGAAATACTGCCTAAAGAAAGAGTAGTACAGAAATTGTTGATTAGCCTACCATCTGCTTATGATTCTATCTGCTCAGTTATTGAACACTCAAGAGACTTGAATGAGATTGAGGTGCAGGAGGTTGTAGCCTCACTAAAGAGTTTTGAGTTGAGATTAGATAGACACTCTGAAAACAAAACAGAGAAGGCATTTGCTAGCCTTAGTGTGGATGCTAAATCGGCTAAAACTGGAGATCAGAATAATAAGCAACATAAGAATTGGAAGTCTAAAGGCAAGAAATGGGATAACAAGACAAGTGAAGGCACTAAAACTCCCTGCAAGCACTGTGGTAAGTTACACTTTGGTGAGTGTCGATTCAAGGGCAAACCAAAGTGTTATAACTGTGATAAACTTGGACACATTGCAAAGGATTGCTATAGCAAGAAAACACCACAGCAGGTTAACTATGCTACTCAAGTGGAAGCTGCACCAACTATGTTCTATGCTGGAAATGCAATTGGTGCTGGTATAACAAGGGATGAAGAAATCTGGTATTTGGACAGTGGGTGTAGTAATAACATGACAGGAAAAGAGGACTTGCTGGTGGATATTGACAGAAAGGTGACTGCAAAGGTTGAAATGTGCTGGTGGATATTGACAGAAATGTGACTGCAAAGGTTGAAATGGGAACTGGACAGCTTGTAGATGTAACTGGAAAGGGCACTCTTGTGGTTGAAACCAAAGTAGGCAAGAGATATATCAAAGAAATAATGCTGGTACCTGGACTGAAAGAGAACTTACTCAGTGTGGGTCAGATGATAGAGCATGGCTACTATTTGGTATTTGGAGATCACAAGGTGGAAATCTACAATGACAGCTCTTATTCAAATCTGGTTGCAAAGGTACAAATGAGAGGTAATAGAAGCTTTCCCTTGAAACTGCAGGCTGAAATGCACTTAGCTTATAGAGCAAGTGTAGATCATTCCACTGAACTTTGGCATAGAAGATTTGGACATCTCAATATGAGTAGTCTG